CATTCTAAGACCCATTCATATCAAGAGAATCAAGAGGCATCAAACAACACATAAATTCAAGTACAAGATTCTCATTTCCAATTATGACAACAGTCCACATATAAATCGCAATACATTAAGAACACAACCAATCTCATTCATAGAATCTCATGGCTATGAGAACATATTCATTCTATCATGATTCTTCCTAACCATTTTAAAAATCTATAAAAACTTAACTCCCAAATTCAAGAGTTCTATTTAGAACCCACCTCAATAATAGAAAAGGGGATTGATGAAGATTGATGTTTGTGAAAGATGATATGAAGTGAAGATGATGAATCCAAGCTTCTTGTTCTTCCAATTTTTTCTTCCTTCCCAGGTTCCCCCTTTCTTTCAAGTTTCTCTTTTTTTTCCTTTTTCTTTCTTATGTTGATCACTAATACATAATACAATTGGAAGAGAAAATTGGTTGGTAGGAAGTGGTAGACAACATGTGGTAGGGGTGGCAAAACGGGGCGTCCGCCCCACTCCGCCTTAAGCCCGCCAATAAAAAGGCGGGAAGGGTAAGCTTTCCAAGTGAAAATGGGCATAAAAATCTAGCTTGCCCCGCCAAGGTGACGGGTTAACGGGCGGCGGGCTTGCCCGCCTACTTTTTTATTTTACTTTTTTAATAGATTAATATGCTTATTTTTACATTTCAATTATATTTTTCACTTATTTTTTTGAACAATTTTTATAGAACATCTTTTTAACAAATTTTACTTTTAAAAATATTGCATATATTCTCAAATAAATGTATAAAATAAAACCATCAAGAATTGAAATTATTAGAATTAACTAAAAAAGGACGGATTTACGGTGGGACAAGCTGAACGAATAGGTGCGACGGGTTTTCTCGGGCGGAGGGGTTTGGCGGGACGGACTTTGGCGGGTGGCGGTATTTGGTGGGGCGGACTTTGGTGGGTATAGGGCCCAAAATCCCAACCCAACCCTCCATTTTTTGGCGGGTGAACGGGTCGGCCCTACGGGCCACGGCCCGTTTTGCCACCCCTAACATGTGGCCACAAAATGGTTATAAATATTTGTGGTTGGAAATGAGTAAGAGAGGTAGAGTAATATATCAAGTGTTACTACACTTAATTAATGACTCTACTAGAGTAATTGACCAATTACTAGTGTTATCAAAATGTCCCAATTAATAAAAGGTCAGTTCCAAATAGTATTAAATAAGTCAATATGAGCTCACTAGTTACTCTAGTTATCCCAATTGATTATTTTTAGAGCATATAGGAACTCGGTTGATCTCAAATTTAAAGTATTTAAGGAAACACGGGGTATTACATCCTCTCCCCCCTAATTAAAATTTTGTCCTCGAATATAAAGATCTTACTTGAAAAAGATGAGGGTAAGATTCCCGCATCTCTGACTCAAGTTCCCAAGTGGCATCGCCCGGATGTGATTCGTCCCACTGAACCTTAACAAGAGGAATATCCTTATTTCTCAACACTTTAGTTTCTCTTCCTACAACAGGACTTGGTTGAGGTTCAAAAGTTAGGTCTGGTTCTATTTCCATATAATCTGGAAGAATTGGTTGAAGAGGGTCAGGAATAAACTTCGCTTTAAATCACATCCACATAACGGTCACGTCTTCATCGGTCTTCAACTCAATAAGGTTGTATTTCGTCCTTCTAACAGTATCAATTCAATCTTCATGAAACTCTATCTTTGTCACCTTTCTGTTATCAATATCAGACAACAATTCATTCAACTTTGATGTCAAGCCGACAAGGGATGTGGTGCCATTTGAAAGTTGGAACTCCATGTGAGGTGAAACTCCGTTGAAGTACACTTCTGCCTTAATCAAAAATTTAGGAAGAGACATTTTAAGATGTTTTTCTCAAAAAATAGGTGACCCCTATTTATACAACTTTTAATTCATTATGAACCACATAAAATGATCAGTGTAATCATAATTGTCCAAAACTGTCGAAAAATCCTAACCATTTAAAATATCATAAAATTAAACTACCAGAAACTTCAATTTGGTTGAAATTTATGGTAAAACATGGTACTTTTTAACATTTCTGGTAAAATTGCAAACTCTTGGACTTTTCAGAATTTTTGGTATACCGAAAATTCTGAATACACTACCGGAAATTTAGGTGGTACTGAAAATTTTGAAATGTCAACTAGAAATTTAGTATGTAAATTTGTTTCAAATTTTAGTAGAAGCGGTTATGGAATTATGTAATTATGAGAGGTGTCAGGTACAAATAGGAGGGTAGCAAGTTAAATGCTCTTAATATGGTGATACCTCATTGTACGAACTTATATATGTCTCTCCTCCATCAATTGAATTGGTACCAGTATTTATAATTTTTATTCCTTGATTTTCCTAATGAGATTTATGAAATGAAAGAAGAATCATCTTGGTGGAAATTAGATCCTAAGCCCCTTATAAATATGAATCGATTGATTCATTTGATCCTAGGTTGGGACTAACGAGGCTTAAACCTACAACTTCTTCCTCACATATGAATCTAAAAATTCTTAGATATCATATATATTATCTTTAATTTCTCTTTATTATTCATATTTTATGTCCTAAGACATATATTTTAGATACTAATTATGAATTGTACACTAAAGTCTTCCCACTTCTCAAATGTTCCAATCACATATGAAGATAATCAATCGAAATTCAATAAAGTTGAATTGAGTCATGTTTATATAAGCTATTGTGATATCAATATTCGATATAGGTCAAATTATAAAAGTGGACCTTTTTTTCCTTGGACCACGTATGAATTCTCCATTCCAAGTCAAAAGTGCATTTTATCTTTTCTTTTTGTTATGGCAATGCAATGCAAGAGGTTTCGGAAATCAGGTAATTTTTTATGATAAAAACCTGACATTGTTTGTCGGCAGTGTTAGAAGACGATTGTCGGTGTATGATGGTAAGTAAGGCATGTACAGTTAGCTACTTAAGACATTTTAGGGAAAGCAAATCAACCAGAAGAGCTGGAGTTGTTGGATCTTGCTCAATACTGCTATATATTAACAACTAAAAAGTTATATGGCGAATTTTAACCCCTTTGAGTTGGCAATCAACCTACTTTTCCAAGACGTGGCAGAAGCACAACGACTTACCCCAAACCTTATAAAACTAAAGTAAAATTAAGAAAGAAAAATAAGAGAAATAACATCAAGTAGAAATGAATAAGGTCTTATCGTATTGTTGTTTTCTCTTTTATCTTTCCTTATCTCTCCTCTATAGAAATAAGGAATGATACATGACATGGTATACCTGATCGTTTGGTCAATGAGATGTACGTAAGTTGGCATAACTCCATTTATATTCTTTTTTTTCTTTCACTTAGCCCACCATTCCCTAAACCAACCCGGATCTGCCTTTGAAAGTCTCTCTGCATTTTGGGAGCAGAGTATGCAAAATCGAGCAATGAGTCTTAGAAAAAATTCCTCGAGTTTTTATAAGTCTATCCAAATGAAAATCCCATATAGAAGCACAAGCAAAAAGATAGAAGAAAAGTAGAAAAAGGTATAGGGAGGAGACTCGCATCAATAATTCCCAATAGACGAGAGACACACCTAATCCATCTACACATTCATCAATCATGATGTTCGACTGACTTGCACTGATAGACCCCTATTATATTAGAATTAGGTGTCCATCTTTTGACTTTGACTATGAAGCATAACACCTTTAAAAATAGGTGTGTCACAGTATCTTATATGTATCAGTATTTATCACTTGTATGATACTTGTAAGATACGTGTCATAAAAGTTAAACTAGTGTCCCAAAATATAATTTTTTTTTTTGCTTTAACTCTTTTTGAATTGACGTCCAACACATGTATGACTCTCATATCACACGTCTCGAACAATCCGGACAAGTGTTTTGAAAAAAATATATTTTTTCTTTACTTTAACACATCTTTTTATATATTTTAGACAAATTCCACGTATATCTAATTTAAAATGATTAAACATTTACCGAAACAATGTTATCCATAAATTTTATTTATTATGAATAAATGAAACTCAAATACTATCGAATTATTTTTTTTAGCATCCGTATTGGATTTCATGCTTCACATGTTTGTCAACTAATCTTTAATGTTCTACATGTTTGTCAACTAATCTTTAATGTTCTACATGTTTGTCAACTAATCTTTAATGTTCTATTCTACTCTATCTTATGGAAGGTTATAGTGGATATGTGGCCAAATCTAGATCATATGACATTTTAGGTAATTGTGATAGTCGTGAATAAATGCATGGAATGATTTATAAACTATAAAAATCTCTTGCATAATTGACATGTAGTTACATAAAAATATTGTACCATCAGCATGCCACATCATATCTTTAAAATGTTAGATTTCAACAAAGACTGCAGAATTTGAATCCTCTATATATTGTATAATCTGTATGTCATAAATTCATTCTTTTTTTTTCATTTCAAAATTTATTTTCTTTCTCATGAAAGATATAAAAATTGTAAAGAATATCATAGAGAAAATTGAAATAATCTCAAATGATAGTACATGAATTCAGAAAATGACTAGATTCAGTACTCCAAAAGAACTATTAATCCTATTATTAGTTTAAATTTTGAAAATAACTTTACATAATATAAAAAGTAGATAATAAATGAATTAATAGACATTTTAATGTACATTGTATCAAAGCTGGAAGTAATATAACTAGTCAACACAGTGAAGGCACTCCTTGCAAAGAGATACATAAAGAGGAAACCAGATATGGATATTCCCTTCAATATTAAATCTAAGATTTATTTACATACACAGTTTCAAAAGACATCAAGGTTTCCAAGACAGCCTCAAATTTGTTGACTAAGCCAAGGAATTTGTTCCAAACAAAAGGGCGCAATTTTCGTGTGTTGTTTTTGTAAGTATGCTTCCAGAAAAATCATGTCATCCTGATACGCTTCCGATTCCAAAACCATGTGGGGTGAGGAAAGTTTCTACCTAACTCAGCTGCTCGAGGAAGGCCCGAAGTACATGCAAATTGGCGGATTAATCCTCAAAATAGAGAGAATTGCTGAAGGAATAGTCCATATCCCATCACCACATATCAAACCAGAAGCAACAGCTCCAGAATAATCTTCTGAATCTTTTCTATTCACTTGTTCCCACACAAACAATATTACAGTTCCAATAAACATATCAACTGCAAAGTAAGCACCAATGTAGAAAGGAACTGCCATTGCCATTGGAATTGGAATGTACTGTGAGTATTTCTTCGGAGTCACGTCCCTTAAAAAATTGATAGCCAGTGCCGCTGCGAAGAAACCGCCGCACATTTCCATGCAATACTTTGGAAGCTCGGAGAATCCCTCGACACCAAGAATGGCCATTTCCCTGAATATAACGGCGTATGGTGCTTTGTATGGGCCATCGGGTGATCCTATATCGAATGCAGTCCAGAACATCCAGAATGTGAGGGGAGCAATTATACATCCCATAGCTGTTCCTATCAACTGGCTCACAAACATGGATTTTGCCGACGAGAGAGTGAGGTAGCCTGTCTTGAAATCTTGCATGAGATCGGCTGCGGTTGAAACAATGGACATCATCACAGCACACGATGCTACACCTGCAATTACCCCTCCATTTGTGCCAACTGCTGCCGCGACGATGAAAAGACCGATCTTGCCATATGTGGATGCAAGACTCCAATCTGTGAGCCCTGTGCCGTAAGAGTTGCAAAAGGCAAGGGCAGGGGCAAGGATGTAAGAACATAGAACCAAGTACCATTTGAGAGGAGGGAAAATAAATGGTATTGTTACAATGGATATCGCTGCCAAGCCTACGTATCCAGATGCTGCAAACCAGGTTGGTATCCCATCCTTCATAAATATTTCATTCCTTTTCTTTTCTTCTAAATGCAGTTCAGAACTATCACCATCTGAGAACATGAATATGAAAGAAAAATAAATTAACTTCTATGTGCAGCATTTGATTACAATAATAAAGGAGAAGAAATCATGCTTATCAACAGGAAATAGTTGGAAACGCATTCGATTTTACTCACCAGGAACCTCAGTCACAACAGGAAGACTGTTCTGTTTGGATCTTGTCCTCCACATCTCCCTAATGGTTATCACTATAATTTTAACTAGATTGTAAATACCGTCTCCTAAAATAATGGCAATAGATATAAATACCTGCACAAAACATGATAAGGATATAATTTTAAGTAGGGTTGGCATAAAGATAATAAACTGATATCCTGCAAGTATACTCGCTTTACCATACCTTGTATCCATAAAGACCTTTGAAATCATTGTTACCAAGGTTAGCTGGATACCAGTCCCCGGCATGCTTGGAGACGAAAGGCCACAGAAAGCCCCACGAAATAATGGCTCCAAGGAAAACAGAGCAATTCACTATATGAGGGCAGATAAGACCACATCCAACATAAGTTGGACTGAAGTCAAAGTAGAATCTGCATGAAAAGAATGAGACGTTATATTAGTACCTGGAAATTAATTGCACATCAGACACAGCACTTACCACCACTCAAGAATAAATATACATTCACTACTACAAAATTTGACAATGTATTAATAAAGAAATGTTGATTTTAAGAAGCATCTGATAAAGGAAGAGAAAACCAAAGGTAAAAGATTCTTACGTGTTCTTAAATAGTGTCAACCCAAAGCTAGGAAAATTGTCAAATCCACATGAATCTCCAATTCCACTGAAGAACCACTTAAAGCAGCTCCAAAAGAAACTTATGCTTAAATATTTTCCAAGTTGCCGAACTTGGTTCCTGGAAGATTAAAAAAAAGACAATAAAAATAGTAACAAAAACAATCTGTGCATAAAGCTTCTGAGTGGTCAAATTAGTATACCCTGCAAGTTCTGCTCCAGTTTTTGTATGGAAACTGTTAATTAGCATCGCTGTGGCTGTTCCACTGGGATATGTAAGCTTATAATCCAAGACCATAACCTGAAATTGCATTACAAGAAATTAAATGCATTGGTAAAGGAAGTGATATATATCATACATGTAATAAATTGAAGTAAAAAGAGGTTACACCTATATTATAGAGGAGAAGTACAGAAGCATTAACCAAAATATGCACTTCCATTGATTCAAATCTTCTAATCATTTGTGTCACTAGATGCGCTACTAAAATGATTCGATTTTTGTTGGAAAAAAATAGAAATTTCGCAAACCCTATGTAATAAAAATGAACCAGAAAGATTACCTTACGAAGTGGCACAAGACTAAAAAGACCAAGGAAACTGACAACAAACATGAAGCCGATCATCCATCCCAAGCCGGGATTTTTAACATCTTCAGCTCTATTACCAGGATAATCCGGGCCAATGAGTTCATATGTTTTTTGATCCATAGCAATCAAGGATGAACCAAACCCCCCTGCCAACAATATCACGGTCAGTAACACTAAACTAAGTGACTAGCCACATTTTAGCTTTCACTACTTTTTTCCTTTGAATGTTTCTTTTGTAAAAGGTTGCACAACAGAACTGCATGCAAACAAACAAAAAAGTATAGGGTATAGAGTGCAACTAAGTCCTGAATTTGTAAGTCCATGCCACACATAGAAAAGGTTTCTAATTAAAATAAACATAGCCTAAATACACATCTAACTAGATAACTGATTTTCTCATTGAACCTTCTTTTTTAAGCCTTGGTAATTGGTGTGGCTTTTGTTTGACTTGCACTAATCTAACTCTATCAATGAAAAGAGAGTTCAAATTAAGGATTATTGGAGGGGGAAGGCAGAACAATATTATTAGTATCATTCTTCTTCATTCTCAATTAACATTAGTGCATTATATTCAGTTTCAAAATATCAGAAAATGTTTTGTTTTTACTTTTTATCATAAAAATGTCACATTGTTTTTATTTTGTTCTGTTCTTTCAAATCAAGAAACATAATGAAAACAACGTAGTAATTTTGTAATTAAAAGTGATATCAACAAATGAAATGAGACAAGTCGTCTGAAAAACCAAACAGATCTTGAACTTATTTTACAAACTCTACTAGCCCCTATCTTCAGAAACCTAACCACAAGCAAGAAACATATTTTTCACAAAAGCACCAAGCTCATGCAGCACACAACACACGAAAGTAAGCAGAACATCTAAAGATCAGTCCACCATTACAACAGTCAAATCACTTGCTTAGATCCTCTATAGTCAGTCTTACAATGCAGCAAGCAGTAGGCCATTCTCTAAACTCAATGGCCTAGCCAACAGATATTGTTTCAGTTGGCAAGGAGTTAGCCCATACCCACAAGGGCTTGAGGTCAACTCCGTGTGAGCAATAGTCATATCCTACCGAAGGAAAAAATGGTAATTTCATATATATATATATATATATATATATATATATATATATATATATATATATATATATATATATATATATATATATATATATATATATATATATATATATATATATATATATATATATATATATATATATATATATATATATATATATATATATATATATATATATGTATATATATATATGTATATATATATATATGTATATATATATATATGTATATATATATATATGTATATATATATATATATATATATATATATATATATATATATATACAACACATTTTTTTCAATCTTGCTTCAAAAAACTCGATCTTGACCACGCCGGCAACGAAAAAGATCGATCCAACACTCAATCTGACTACCCTACATGTGAGCCCTGAATCCAACTCGCCTAAACTTTGTTATCCCAAAATAAATCCAACGGTCTACTATAACCAGCACCATAAAAAACCACATGTAGATGAACCATTTTGGACAAATCGCAAACATGAACAAGAAAAAAAAATCATCTTGAAAAGTCTAACTGAGTTGGATCTTGATATGCATGCTTAAAGAGCACTTACAATCTTACATAATACCCACCATCAAGTTTATCTAAAATGTCAACCCAAATCTTTGTAAGATCTAAGTTGAATCCTTAGAAATTGGACAACTTACATTAAACAAAAACTCAAACTATACAACAACAACCAAACATTATCTCACTCAACTGGGTTGACTACATGGATCAACTTCTGCCATAATATTACCATATTTCTATGCAAATCGTTAATCTTGAAACCTTTCTAAGTAAAAAAATTAAATAAAAACAAAACAAGCAAGAACCATTTGATTCAAAAAGTGAAAAGACAAAAATTTTACCGCTAAAAGCGAGGCCATAGCAAGCAACAACACAAGTCTGAATAACCGTATTCTCCTGCCGAGTAAACGGCTTAGTAAAAACCCCAATCTTCGTCAACAAACCAGTCCACGTCTTGACAAAGAAGAACCCAAGCAAACCCGCAGCAACATTAAGGGACGGAATAATCCCAACAGTGAGATTGAGTTTATGAGTTATGATACAAAACAAACACCCCAAAACCGCACTCACAACCAACCCTCTAACCGTGATCTGTTCCTTCCATTCAGGAACTGGTTCGGATAAAAATTCACTCTTTTCGTTGTGAATTTGGGGTTCTTGAATCAAGGGTTCCGTGATGTGATCCATTGACGTTGTTTCGGTACCCATGATTCTGGGTTTGGGGTGAATATGAGATTTTGAAGAGAAGGTTGTGGATTGGGATTTGTGAAGAGATAAAATGGATTTGTAAAAGATTCAGTTATTGGGTATTGATGCGGTTACGTGCTGGAATTTGTGGAATTTGTGAGGATGGTAACGTTGATTAGTTGGATCTATCAAATTATTATTCATAAAAGTATATTTAGATTTTCTAAAGCCAAATTAAAATTGAAAAGACATTAATAGATTAAGTAACATTCTAATTAGGATACTATATATAATTTTTTTTTATATTTTTCTTTTTCTTGTATAAATTTGTTTATATTTTTTTAATAATGAATTTGATCCGTATAGAAATAATATCAAATATATTAATTATTCAATGAATGTTTTTAAATAAGCTTTCATCTACATGATCATTTTTGTTGTATTGTTAGGATGTTGTAAGAGCTTATTAATAAGAACTTGATACTAGAAAATATTAGGATTATTCAATAAATTCCAAAAGCATTTTAAGAAGAAAATTAATGAATGAGGACGTTTATAACTAAGCATCCTGCTCTTTAGGCTTACAACAAACCTCTCAGCTGATTAGATGAGCCTTACGATTATTCTATGTGTCTTTTTAAATAAATTTTCGTTGAAGTTTTTCCATCTCAATACTAATAGTATTAGGAATTTTTGCGTATAAGGGATGAACAAAATTCTTTCGACTAAACTCAAACATTGTTCCTTCCAACCACTTAGCCGCCTTTGAACTTATTTAGTAATATGCACATATTTCTAGAGCTTATGTAACGCCTCAATTTTTATTCTAGTATTTTTAATTTTTATTGAGCTTTTCGGATGTATTTTATTTAATTAATTGTTATTATTTAAGTTAACGAGGATTGGGAGAATTTAGTTATAATTTAATAATCAAATTATTGGAGAATGTGAGAAGTTGTGATTTTGGATAATAAAATAGAATTTAATTAAATATATGAAGGTGATCAGAGTTAGTGAGAATTAAGGGAATTAGTGGAAATTATTAAAATAAAATAAATTAGGTTAGAAGGAAAAAGTGAGAGTACATAGAATTTTTGGTGGAATAAGGATTAAGAGGAGAAGAAAGGAAACCCTAGCATAAAGAGTGAAAGACAAGAGCCTCTATAATCAAAGTCTTCAAAGTTGTAAGTTTTTATGCATAATTGAGGTAAGGGAGATTATTTGATATATTGGTGTATAAGCATGGAGGATAGTGGGGATTTCTTAACCCCTTTTTTTTCCTTTTATTTTTCTTTCTTCCTTTTTTCTCCCATTGATGTGGAATTTAAACCTTGAGATGGTTTGTGCAAAACCTCTCTAGATTGTTATTATATAATTTTGCATTATGTTGTGTTAATGATGCGAATTATATGAATCAATGTGTTTAATTCAGATTTTTGATGTTCATGAATATATGAGAACATTTGATGAATATGATGATGATTTCATGATTAATTGATGATATGTGTGTTGAATCTGTGTTTTTTATAAGTTAAATGTTTTATGAATCGTGTATAATGATTACTATGTGTGTCTGGTTGTATGGGACTCAAAAAATGAGATCAAGAAGTGTAATGGCCAAAAACGCAAAAAAAAAAAAAAAAAAAGAGTTTTTGCATCGATGACAGGCGTCACCTGCGTGACGGACCAACTGTCATTGCATCGGGGATGAAGACATCAAATCGTCAGCGATGACGGACGTCATCTATGTAACAATCCAACCATCAGCCCCCATGACGAGCGCAAATTCCCCAAATTGTCAGCAAGGACGGGTAACACACCTAGAGGGTGATTACCGTCATGGTTGAGACTGATCGATCGTCAGCCTTGTTGATTGATCGAATTGAAATGTTTGACTCAATTTTTCGAGTAGTTTTTTTATTTTCTGATTTGTTTATTGTTGTTTGATGAAGACTGATGAGAAAAGTGTTTTGAGATATTATGATTGAGTTGATTGGAAAATTCCTTAAGTAAAACAAGTTACTCACGCCCTTAAATGCACATTTAGTATCTTAGGGTATCACCAAGATTGTAAGAGTGCAAGTGTTATTGAGGTTGTGTTGTTTTTTTAACCCGAAGAAAGTGCAGATCCAAGATTTATGTCAGATGGCTAGGTTGAGATGTCTTTGAGGGAGAATGATCAGGTGCTCGTGATGTTCGCATCCTTGAGAGTGGAGAATGATGCAACAATTAGTTATTTGTCGGTGGTGTCTGAATTTCATGATTTTTTCCCAAAAGATATTTGTGACTTGCCTCCGAAGCATGAAGCTGAGTTCATCATAGATTTAGTACATGGTATTAGACCTATGTTGATGGCTCCATATAGAATGTCTACATCGTAGTTGGGCAAGCTGAAGAAACAGTTAAAAGATCTGCTTGAGAAAAAGTTTGTTAGACCTAGTGTGTCACTATGGGAAGCACTGGTGTTATTGGTGAAAATAAAAAATGGTAGCATGAGGTTGTGTGTTGACCATCGACAACTGAATAAGGTCACAATTAAGAACAAGTATCCTTTTTTGAGAATTGATGACCTTATGAATCAATTGGTAGGTGCTCGTGTTTTCAGCAAGATTGATTTAAGATCAGGTTATCACTATATTCGAGTGAAGATTGAAGATAGCAAGATTGATTTAAGATCAAGTTATCACTATATTCGAGTGAAGACTGAAGATATTCTGAAGACTGCTTTTAGAACCTGATATGGTTACTATGAGTACTCAGTTATGTCGTTCGGTGTGTTTAATGCGCCAGGTGTGTTTATAAAGTACATGAACATAATATTTTATCCCTATTTAGATTAGTTTTTATGGTATTCATTGATGACATCTTGGTGTATTCAAAAACAGATGAAGAGCATGTAGAGCATTCTTCGAATTATAGTTAAAGGGGGGGGGGGGGGGGGGGGGTTGTTATCGTCTCCATATGGATTGGAGATATTTTGATGCTTGTCGTTCAACAGTTTATTGTTTCAAGAAAAAGAGTTCTCAAAGTTTTGTTCATAAAATTGTCACGTTTTGAGTAGCAAAGCTTATAAATTCTAAAGAGTTTGATTAACAAAGTATATCAAAAGTAGTTTTCATCTACCCTAACTTATATGTATTCTTTCAATCTTGCATTTGAAGTCGGATCCGATTAATATCGTCGTGCATTCTCTCAACACCGTCTATCTCTAGAGCGGCGTCATGAGAAATATTGTATTCATCGCTACATGATTTCTTCATATAACAACCAATATAGTAAGCTTTAAGTTCAACATAAAGCAACTATCGCTCATAGAATGATTTCTCCAATCTATAAACTAATAGATGAATATTTTAGGTCAAGTTTCCAAAATCTATGTCAAGAGTTTTACAAAATAAGAATGGATCATTAAAAACAAAAATATTCATCATACATTAATCATCACTTGTTCACATACAAGACCAATCAAAAGAAATACATACAAGCTAATGGTAGACTATATCTACCTTTGATACAAAGAAAATTAGCTAACCATAACCATGGTAGCTTACTTTACAAGTTTTGGAAGAAGATGAGTGAGCATCCACGTCGAAGAATTGAACTCAAATGCGAATTCAGCTTCTATTTGTAAAATATCACCTTTTGGTGAAGAAATGTTGAGAAATGAAGTTTTGGTGTGAAAAATGGGTTATTATCCTCAAAAATTGTGAAAGTACTTAAATGGTACTTTTGGAATCTGTCATGTTTGTACTGCGAACCATTTCTTCACCAGTGAACACACTTTTAGGCACCTGAAGTGCCTCTGAAGTGTTAAATCACCCTTGAGAAATATCTGAAGTTCATGTGTGAACAATTATTTGCCCTACGAACTACCTCGCTACAAGTTTGCACATCAAACTTATGGTCCTTTAGCTACTGCCTCTAATCTGGGATAATTCGTTGGTCCTTCGCTGAGACCTCGCCACAACAAACATTTGCTACCAGTTCGCTCAGCGAACTTAGTGCCCTTTTCTTACTGCCTTTATTTTGTGAGGGTTCGCTGGGGCTTCGCCATGAGTTCGTCCAATGAACATTCGCTGCTACTCCTTGTTGGCTGTTCACATAGTTAACATGCCGAATCTCTTCTTTTCCTTTGGCTTCCTTGTTTAATTACTTGTGTCTTACACTTTGGTGATGCCTAATTTATGCACAATAACACACAAATCAAAGCAACAAAAATATTTTCAACAATATTGAAGAATAGCATGATATCATGGAGTAAATCTAACAAAAAATAACAAAAGAGTTGAAAATTGCCAATAAATAAGGATCAATTTAAAGCAAGTTTGGCATTCAACAAGCATTTGAGAGTTATGCTACATACTTTGCAAGAGAAGAAGTTATATACGAAGTTTTCCAACTATGAAATCTGGTTGCATGAAGTGAGCTTCCTTGGTCATGTTATTTCTAGTGGTGGTATAGCACTTGATCCATCTAAGGTAGACACAATGTTGCAGTGGGAGACTCATAAGTCTGTTACTGGTATCATAAGTTTTCTTTGTTTGGATGGTTATTACAAGATTTTTATAGAAGACTTTTTGAGGTTAGCCTTGCCTTTGAGTCAGTTGACTCGAAAAGGACAAGCTTATGTGTGGGATGCTCAGTGTGAGGAAAAATCTTAAAAGTTGAAGAATAGGTTGACGAAAACTCTAGTTTTAGTTCTAATATATGCTAGTGAATACTTTGTTGTGTATTGTGATGCTTACAATGAGATCTTTGTCTGTTTACACTTGTTTGTTGAGCCTGTATTTTTAACTGCCTTGTATATCCCCATTCGATAAGTTGTACCCCCATTCCCTTGATGTGTAATAAATTTATCGCTTTCCTTTATTTTTTTATTGTATTAGTTAGTTATTAACTCAAGATTAAAATCAATCACTTTCAGAAAAGAACAAAAATAACATTTGATTCAACATCGAGCCTTTTTCCCAAATTAAATCCAAATTGAATGTAAAGTCAAACATCTCTCTTGATTAATCCAA